ATATGTATATGTATATATGTGTGTGTATAGAGAGAGAGCGAGAGAGAGAGAATGCAACTTTTTCTCATAAAACTGCACAAAAAAAATCATACTACGATCAGAATTGTGACTCATCTCTTTTGATCTTCAGATGACTAATGTCTTGTTTTGCAGCCATTCAAAACATGTCAACCTGAACACAGTATGAATAAATCAACGCCGCAGATGCAGCTGGGACACGCGCGCGCGCACTTTTTGGACATGTCTGTTAATCTACGTTAAAGGCTAAATGGATGTATAAAACCAGCGCTGAGTGTTTTATCCTTCTCGGAAGGAAGACCCCCCACCCCCTTCCTGCTCCACCCCGCCCCTCTCTTAAATGACGCGCGCTGCACATTAAAGTGAAATGGATTACATTATTATTATATAATTTAACTCGGGTCCTTTACGTCAACATGCCGCCATTTTAGACGCTCTTCTTCCGCGTTTGCGCTAAGTTAGCCTTTGTTCACTCCAGACAAACAACAGATGGCAAAAAAAGCATCTTTGTTGCGTCTGAAGCGATGGCTCTCAAGCCTTTGTTACGTCAAACCAGAAGTTAACGTTGCTAAAGGAAAAAAAAAAAAAAATCCAGTGTTTGATCAATTCTGGAGTCCAGTTGTTGAGAGAGTTGGCTCATCTCTGGATGACGTTTTTTTGTGTTCTGAAGGTTAAAAAAAATAACGCAGGTAGCAAGCATTTGTTGATTGAAACAAAAAGCTAACGTCTCCAAAAAGTGTTTGTTGAGTCCAGTTGCGCTGATGCTAAGCTAAGATAGTTCGTGTCGCCGTTCCGTACGACACACGCGCACACACAAACAGACAACAAAAACAGGACTTTTTTCGGGGGGGCGGGGGCATCTGAGGTGATTTAGCCTTTGCTGGCTGGTTGAAACAAGAAGCTAAAGTTGCTTGAAGAGAAGCAAGTTAGCTTAGCATTTATTTACAACCAAAAAAGAGACAGCAAAAACAAACTGTTGAGCATCTAAATCTTGAAGCTAATGTGGCTAACATTAGTGTTGAAAATGAGAACAAATTCCGTCGGCTTTTTGTATCCGCTAAGCCTCACAGGTAGGACGGGAGCTTTCCAAAGGTGCTTTAGGAATTTTTTTTTTTTTTTTGTCATCCTTCTGCTTTCAGACCTCTGCCAGGGAGAGAAAGTGTGTCAGCGGGCTGGATTAACGTCGTAATCCCTCAGAGCATCTGCGGCCGCTGGTTTTAAATAGATCGCCGGCAAAACACCCACCGCTGGAGTTATGAATGGGTCCAACCGGGGTTTGAATCCTTTGGCACTTTTCATGATCGCGTTGACTTTTGTAAATTCAGTTCGTCTCAACTCCGAGTACTGCGAATGACTCTACAAAATACCAAAATACGATACACGAGTTACCATCTCGTGTATTGCTTGTAGTCGTGTGCAGAGGTCATCCGGACGAGGACGCTGTTGTACTCGTGTGTCCCTACAGGTTCGATTGCGCAGAAATGTCCTATTAGCACGAGGCAGTAAAGCAGGGGTGTCACACTCATTTTTGTCATGGGCTGCTTTGGGGTTACATCTTCCCTCGGTGGGCCGGTATGATTTTAGCAAGGATGATGGAAGTTGAAGCGCATGAATTGCTTTTGCGGGCCATATAAAATGATGTGGCGGGCCGGAACTGGCCCCCGGGCCTTGACTTTGACACCTGTGCAGTCGAGGAAAAAAAAAAAAAAAACATCATTCGGATCACAAGGTTCTTCGACTCATGCCCTGAATGGCCTTACGGGTGAGAACCAAGTGCGAATGGGTGCACTATTATGTAAGAAGTCGCGTTAGCAGCACCCCGTTGTCAACTAATGCACCGTTTTGCCTCACTCGTATAATGTCATTGTTCTACTAGTGCACACTTGTGTCATACCGTAGTGAAAGGCAATAGAGGACCAAAAAAAACCCCCACATCGCACGTCGGAGCGGTTCCAGCATACCCCAGCCGCTGACCCGAGCAACCGTTGTCAAGTCCGGCTTCGTTCATCTTAGGCAGCTGTCTCAGGAGCACTTGGAAACAGTCAGTCGTATCTTTGTCACATCTCGCTCGGATGACTGTCCCGCACTTGACTTTGGAGTCAGCCAAAGGCTCCATGAGGCGTCTCCAGTTGCTCCACGATGCCGCCGCTCGCCTCTTGACGGGTAGAGGGAGCACATCCGGTAACTCCGACTCATTTGAGAGTTCTTTTGAAGATCCGATGATTTCTTTTCCAATCTTGAAATGGCCTCACCATTTGATTTTAATTTTGAACGAGTCGAATTTTTACGACATCACGGCAGTAGTATTCGCATGCAATTGCCCACGAGTGCACAGTTTGGGCTGACAGGTAACATGTCATTGTTCTGCTAGTACGCCACATTGTCATACGGTAGTGGAAGGCAGCAAAGACAAAAGTAGCACAACTTGTTTACCTCCATGCTGGTGCGGTTGCACTGGTGCGTGTCGGCAAACCATCCGTCCTGGGTGGTGCACTGGTCCACGTCCATGTCCTGGATGTCCACGTCCACACGGATCAACCCCCTACGCGGGCACACACACACACACACACACACTCAAAACGTCATTTCGGCCCGACATCTTTACCTGTTAATGTCGTCATGGCAGAGCGTAACGTTTTCCAATATACATCTCACGATCGCGTTTGAGGAGCTCTGACAGCATCCCGAGGAGACAACAAAAATGGCTGACGAATGACACGCGCCATTCTTTTAACTCCTTCACTCCCAAAGACGTTTTGAAACATCTTTTCAGACTTGGTCCAGAATTGGCTGGGACTGAATGGTTAAGGAGATGACCGTTTGTTGATTCTTCGTTTTGTTCCGCGCGGACGCGCGAGGGGAGACGGTCACCGAAAAATATCCGAGTGTTGTCAGATGTTACTCGCGACTGCGCTGGTGTCGGCCTACGCTGACGATACGGACGACTTCATCGAGAGAGGGCGGGCGTTAACGGGGAAAAGTGGGCCTTTGCGAGCGCCGCGTTACTCTCTCCGACCCGTTTCGGGCATCGCCGGTTTGCATCCGCGCCTGTGTGGCCGTGCTGACCTGAACTCGGGGCTGAGGTCGGGCTTGAGGCCATAGAAGGCGGCGGATAAGGTGAGCATCCACCTGGGCACGAAGCGGCCGTCTTCGCAGTCCAGGTAAGGGGCGCGGCCCCAGCGGACGCCGCTCCCGTTGCTCACGTAGCTGTCGCCCCGACCCCACTTGGGCGTCTCCAAGGTGCTCAGGTCGTTGAGCAGGACCCTCTTAGCGAGCGCGGGCGGCCGCGCGGGGTCCGGGAACTTGAAGCGCCGGAACCAGCCGTCGTCCGGGGCCGGGGGCGGCGGGTGCAGGCGGCCCCACGTCTTGGACAAGTCCTGGAGGAGGACGCTGGGCGCCCCCGTCGGGGGGCCGCGGCTGGCCCGCAGCACCAGTTGGGGGGCGCCACCGGTCGGATCGCAGTCGAAGGTGAGCAGCGCCCGGCGGATCGGCCCGCCGGCTTCCAGCAGGGCTCGCACCAGGGCGTGGTACCACTCCATGTCTTCGGGAACGGAGCTCTCGCGCAGGTCGCTGGCCTGGAAGATCATGTTGAGGAAGTTGGCCGTGTTGGCCAGCGCGTCCAGGGCCGGCCCGAGGGCGGCGCGCATGCCGCCGGGAAGCGGCCCCGGCTGCAGGGGGGCGCTGTAGGCCCGAGAGCAGCGCGCCGCCCCCGCAGCGGACGAGTCCCCCGTGTACAGGAAGCTCTCCGCCGCTGACCAGTCGTCCTGCGGCGGAGCTTCCGAGGTACCCGCCGTGCCGCCCGGGTTGCCCGTGGAGGCCCTGGAAGGTTCGGGCGAGCTGGCGTCCAACAAATCGCTGACGTTCCCGGCGTCGGCGGTCACCTGACCTCTGGCGACCGACGGCAGTAAAATCAGAACAAGTGGAAACATTCTGGAGGCTTCCCCGGAGAGGACGTGACCGGCGCCACGGATCATATGATGACCGAAGCTCCGAAGAGCATCTGCGGCGCCGACAACGGGAGCGGACTTTCGCTGCGCAACCTCATTGTCAACCTCAGTGAGCAAAACGCCGCTTCGTGGTCAGATGTCCTGCTGAGGAGGAACCCCAAACTTTCTCTGCTGCTTCTTCGGTTTGCAGATAGATAGATGGCCAAGAAGTGAGGAGGAGGAAGCCCCAACTTTCTTCTTCTTCTTCTCCCGCTGCCTCTTGTCTACAGATGCATCACCAGGACCGGAGCGTGAGAGTGTGTGTGAGAGAAACCAGGGCTAAGCTGTGCATCAATCGGGATTAACGCATCCGACCAAGAGGCTTTCTGGATGCGCTTTTACTGTGCCCATAGGCGCCCGCGGGCACGCGCTCTGAACCGCGCGGACATCGCAACTGTGAGGTGTGATGAAGGCAAAGAACCCTTGTTTTTGGTAACTATGGCAACGGCTCCTTTTTCACACAATCTCTCACACTCGCGACAGACTAAGCTTTAAGTGTCACACCTTTGTCATACATCGCCATGCCGATGATAAAATTGAGGATGCCTCCCTGTGGAAAATGCGTTTGGAATGTGTAGAAAACCCTTAAAAATAATTCTAAAGTTGTATTTTTGCAGCCCCGGGGTCGCCCAACACCGCCCCCTGCTGACAAGTGCAGTCATTGCCGCAAAACCGAAGCGATTGTGGCTGTCCCACCGGAAATAGTTTGTGATGTCATCGCTTACCATTTCTTTGCTGCGACCTAGTGGACAAAGGCTGAACAGCAACCCCTCGCTCGCTTTGTTGAAGACCTTGGAATAAAATGTGTTTTTTTTTTTTTGGGGGGGGGGATTATTTTAAAGAGTTTCTTGATTACAATTCTCAGGATATGTTTATATGATTTATCATATGATTTGGGAAACGAATGAGTGCGAGAGACAAAAAAAAAATGTTGAGTTCACGAAATCAAGGAGAGAGGGATTCGGGAGCTCATCGTCGCGGTCCTCGCTCGTCACGAGTGATGCTGAGCGAGCGGGCGGGGCCCGGATGGAGAGCAAGGTGCTGGCGGTGGCGTTCAATACCCGCCGCCCCGCGTTTTCCTGCCTGCTCGTCCGCCTGCTCCGTGTTCAGTGAGCGGGGACTCGACGATGTCTGAGGCCGGCCTGCGCCCGCACGCCGCCGCGAGCCAGGCGCGGCCTCGCCGCGGAGGATGAACGCGGCGGCTGACGTCGTCGTCGTCGTCGTCGTGGTCTCCTTTCGGCCTCTTGTCTGGCTCCGCCTCGACGGGAGCTCCGGCCCCGCTTCGACCGCTCGGCCTTCGTCTTGCGCCGCTTTCGCCGCCATGTGACGCGCGGGCGCCATCAGGAGCTAAAATGACGAGCGACTTCGTGCTCATGCGCCTGGTCTCCGCCGCCGAGGAGGACCGCCCCGATGCCGACAGCGGCTCGGCGCCGCCCGGGGGGGTCGCGGTGGGCGGGCTGGCTCGCAAAGCGGCCCTGGAGCTCAGCCGAGACGCGGGCCTCGAGCGGAACAAAGCCCCGGCGACTCGCGGCGGCCCCGCCGCACCTGACGGCGACGGCCAAGCCCCGCCGCGTGCGGCTACGAGGCCGCAGAGCCCCGCGCAGGCCCCGGGATGCGAGTTCGGCTCCGGTCTGCGGCCGCAGCTGCTGGTGTTCTCGGACCTCGTGCGCAAAGGGGACGGCATCCTGGAACTGAACCAGCACGGGACTCCCCTGGGCTTGGACCTGCCGATGCCGGACCCCAGGGCAGGTTGCTCCGAGCCCGCCCGCGGGAATGGCACTCGGACCCCGGAAGAGGTCCGGCGACAGCTGCGGGATCAAATGGACGCAACCTGGGCGACGCGTCCTCCGGTCCCGCGGTCCACGGAGCAGCGAGGATCCGCGGAAGTGCGCCGTGGACACCGACTCCTGGCCGGCCCGCCCCAGCTGCCCTCGCCGTCGGGGGGCTCCGCCCCGCCGGCCGTCATCGACCCCAGATGGGCGTGCGCCGGCCGTGACCGAGAGGGACCCGTGTTGAAGCTGGCCCGGAGGTTCGGCGAGCTGGGGGTCGGCGCCGTGCCAAAGATGCTCCTCAAAGCGGGCGAGCTCCCGCGTTGCGCGTGTCAGGGGGCACACGCGCCGGGCGAGGAGCCCGCCGATGACCCTGCCGTCACCAGCGACGCTCTGCTGGTTCTGGAAGGGCTCGGCAGCGACGACGTGGCCGGCCTGGGCCTGCAGGACCAGAGTCCGCACGACCGGGAGCCCAACCGACACTTTTTAGTCAGCGCCAAACCGGACCTCGGCGACAAAATAAGTTATTTCCGGGCGCAAGTGACGGTGGAGGAGGGGCTCTGCGGCGGGAGGTCCCCAGGGGTCGACCCGGATCCGCAGGACTCCCCTCTGGTCCGCAGCCAGGCCTCCACCCCCCGCAGGAGGCCCGAGAGGTGCGCCGGCGCCCCGCGGAACCCCTGCGGGGGGGCCAAGACGCTGAGGGCGTCCGCCAAATCCAAGAAGCGCTCGCTGAGGGTCCGCATGAGCAGGTTGTTCCGTACCAAGAGCTGCAGCGGTTCCTCCCACCTGCTGGACCGGGACCACGCGACCCCTTTTGGGGGGCTGGTCGACGCGCACATGAGCGCATCGGGACCCTCGCTGGATTTGGACAGGTGAGCGCAGCCGCCGTCTTCATCATTCGCATCCCTTTTGCCTTGACATCAGGCTGGAAAAGAAGCGCAAGGCCAAATCGTGACAAAAGTCTTCAAAATAAGATAAGATAAGAAAACCTTGATTGGTCTCACAATGGAGAAATTTGCAATCACCAGCAGCAAAAAATTGAGGGGGAGGATGCACAAAATGTTGAACCCTTTTTCATGCCTAACCCATCATGGAATAGCCAGAAAAATCCCATTTTGGGGAACTGAGATGTCCATTAACCCTTTGAACAAAATCCACAAAAATATTTTTGCCCGATCACGTTGTTTTAGATATTTGGCGTATTCCATTGATAAGCATGATGTCGATGACATCTGAAAATGATCATTCGGGGGGGGGGGAAATCATATTTGAAACCTGCAGTATCAAATTTGATACAGATGATTGAATGAGTTCCATCATGAAAATGCACGGATCAAATATGATACAAATGGCGTGATAGGGTTCAGAAAAAAAAAAAAAAAAAAAAAGAACCCTACACGGTACAGAATGCAATACAAAATATCAAATTATAGATTTATAAAAGAAAGGAATTTTTGAACCATTTCTAAAATCTCAATGCCCGCACCTTACAAACGAAAGAGGAAACAGTCTGCCCCCTAGCGAACAATCCATGAAAAAAAAAAAAAAATGAACCGTACACGGTACAGAATGCAAGACAAAATATCAAATTATAGATTTATAAAAGAAAGGAATTTTTGAACCATTTCTAAAATCTCAATGCCCGCACCTTACAAACGAAAGAGGAAACAGTCTGCCCCCTAGCGAACAATCCATGAATTGCATTTTATTCAAAATATTCATTCCGTATGCATTCCCCCCCCTACATTTAAATGATCCCTCGGGGCCTGATCAATCGTCCTCGGGGGGGGGGGGCCGGTTCCGACCATGACGATTGTTGTTGTGTGTACGTTTTTGGACTCGTTGCGGTTTGCTCAGCGTGGATCACGACGCGAGCGGCGGCAGGCTGAGCCGGGCCCACAGTGCCTTCTGCCCCGCCTCCCTCTCGTCCTTCGCTGGTAAGATCACCTGACGGGCCGCACGCACACCCAAAGTGCGCACCCGAGTCACCGTCCGTCCGTCCTCGGCGTCTCTGTGTGTGTCTCTCCCCGCCTGAGCGCAGGCGAAACGGTGTCTCTGCTGGACGTGGACCTCTCCCGGCGAGGTACCGCCAACACGCCTCATCCGCCCACGCCGCCGCCTCCGCCGCGGCGAAGTCTCAGCCTTTTAGGTACTTCCTGCCCCGCCCCCGTGCACTGGCATTGCCGTCTCTCATCCGCTTGGCGATCCCAAATTAGCAAAACCACGGAGGCCTTGTCATCCAATCAGATCATCTCACCCCCCCCCCCCCCGCCCCCCCCACCATAAATGTGTTCATATTTCATAATACCACATGTGACGGCTATCGATGCACTTTGACTGACTTCCTCCCTTCACGCCGCTCTCCTCACGTCCACTTTGGCGTCCCTT